CTTTACTGTAACCGCTATGGATGTCTTTGACATCATACTGGGGCAAGAGTTCTTTAGACATTGTCATACTTTGATCGACCCCTACCTCCAACATCTCTTGGTTATGGAACGAGAAGGAGCTTGCATGGTACCTACAATGACTATACCACACGGACAGATCCAAGCACAACTCTCAACTATGCAGGTTGTCAAGGGGATCAAGAAGGGGGAGCCAACGTTCGTGGCAACCATTGTAAGTCTGGAGAAAGAAAAGAATTTTCAAGAGATAGTGCCGCCTTGCATAGAGAAGTTGCTTGAGGAAAACAAAGATGTCATGCCCGAGGAGTTGCCTAAGAACTTGCCGCCTATGCGAGAGGTGGATCACAAGATTGAGTTGGAGCCAGGGGCTAAGCCACCCGCATTTGCCCCATATCGTATGGCACCGCCCGAGCTAGAGCAGCCCAGGAAACAATTGAAAGAGCTTCTAGATGCTGGTCACATTTGCCCATCAAAGGCACCTTTTGGCGCACCAGTATTGTTCCAGAAGAAGAAAGATGGATCATTGCGTTTGTGCATAGACTACCGGGCACTTAATAAGGTCTCAGTGAAGAATAAGTACCTGATCCCGCTCATTTCTGACTTGTTCGATAGACTTGGGCAAGCCAAGTACTTTACCAAGGTGGATCTTCGAAAGGGCTACTACCAGGTTCGCATTGCGGAAGGGGATGAGCCAAACACATCATGTGTGACGAGATATGGAGCCTTTGAGTGGTTGGTGATGCCCTTAGGCTTAACCAATGCACCGGTCACATTTTGCACCCTCATGAACAAGATTTTCCATCCCTACCTTGATCAGTTCGTGGTAGTCTACCTAGACGACATAGTCATCTACAACAACACCTTGGAGGAGCACATGGAGCACTTAAGGAAGGTTTTCCAAGTCTTGTGGGAGAACGAGCTATACATCAAGAGGGAGAAATGTGAGTTCGCACAATCAAAGGTGCACTTCTTGGGCCATGTCATTAGCAATGGTGAGCTGCGCATGGACGAGACTAAGGTACGTGTTATCCAGGAGTGGGAGGCACCTACAAAGGTAATGGAGTTGAGATCCTTCCTTGGCCTTGTCAACTACTATCGTCGGTTCATCAGTGGCTACTCAGCAAAGGTCGCACCATTGACTGAGCTACTGAAGAAGAACAAGCCATGGGTCTGGACGGAGCATTGTCAAAAGGCGTTTGAAGACCTTAAGGCAACTGTAACAGAGGAGCCAGTCTTGGCGTTACCTGAGTTTGCCAAGACATTTGAGGTGCACACAGATGCCTCAGACTTCGCCATTGGGGGTGTACTAATACAGGATAAGCATCTTATAGCGTTTGAGAGCCGCAAGTTAAATGAGACAGATAGGCGTTACACGGTGCAAGAGAAGGAAATGACTGCCATTGTGCATTGCCTTCGTACATGGCGACATTATCTACTCGGGTCGAGGTTCGTGGTCAAGACCGACAATATGACTACTAGATACTTTCAGACGCAGAAGAAGCTCACACCAAAACAGGCTAGGTAGCAGGATTTCTTGGCCGAGTTTGATTATGTGATGGAGTACAAGCCGGGTAAAGGTAATGTTGTAGCTGATGCCTTGAGTCGGAAAGCCGAGCTTGCTGCCATCACTTCAGCAAGTTGGGATATTCGTGAGGCTATTAAAGAAGGCATGCAACATGATCCAGCAGCCAAACAACTTATCGAGTTAGCCAACCAAGGCAAGACGAGACGTTTTTTGGTAGACGATGGCCTATTGCTTACCACGGGTCGGCGGGTCTACGTGCCTAAGTTTGGAGACATTAGACGACGAATCATAAGGGAGAGTCATGACACAATGTGGGTTGGTCATCCAGGTCAGCGTCGCACTAGGGCCTTGGTTGAGTCAGTCTACTATTGGCCACGTATGCGAGATGACATAGAGTGCTATGTGGAGACTTGTCTTGTCTGTCAACAGGACAAGGTTGAACAACAACAGCCCGGAGGACTTTTGGAGCCACTGCCAGTTGCAGAGCGTCCATGGGAGAGCGTCACTATGGACTTTATCACTTGTCTACCAAAGTCCGATGGTTATGGTACTATTATGGTGGTCGTGGATAGATTTTCTAAATATGCCACCTTCATGCCTGCGTCACCAGGTTGCACTGCCAAGGAAGCCGCCAAGCTATTCTTTAAGAACGTGGTGAAGTATTGGGGCTTACCAAGGCATATTATCAGTGATCGAGACCCCCGTTTTACTGGAAACTTTTGGAGAGAGTTATTCGACATACTTGGCACGGAACTGCACTTTTCCACTAGTTTCCACCCACAGACAGATGGACAAACAGAACGGGTCAATGCCTTACTAGAATGCTACTTGAGGCATTATGTAAGCGCGTATCAGAAAGATTGGGCAAGGCTCCTAGACATCGCCCAATTCTCTTATAACTTGCAACGGAGTGAGTCCATGGGGCGGACACTATTTGAGCTAGCCACAGGCCAACAACCACAAACTCCACATTCATTACCAGCTGCGTTCGAGGGAAAGAGTTTGGGGGCTTATCATATGTCCAAAGGATGGGAGGAGCAGCTTGACACTGGTAAGTCCTACTTGGATAAGGCATCTAAGAAGATGAAGAAGTTTGCGGACCGTAAACGGCGCCCCACGAACTATAGAGTTGGGGACATGGTCATGGTGAAGTTTAACCCAAGACAGTTCAAGGCACTACGGGGCATGCATCAGAATTTGATTCGCAAGTATGAGGGGCCATTTAAGATCGTCGCCAAGGTAGGCAAGATCTCATAAAAGCTTGACATGCCATCGTATCTTAAGATCTACCATGTCTTCTGTGCCAGCATGCTTAAGCCATATCATGAAGATAAGGATGATCCGAGTAGGGGCCAATCAAGTCGAGCGCCAATAACTATCACCGCCTCACATGATTGGGAGATTGAGGCTATTATGGATTACCAGGCCAGGTGAAAACAAGGTCAAAAAGCCACCGCTATGTTCCTCGTCCATTGGAAAGGGCAATCACCGGAGGAGGCCACGTGGGAACGATATGAAGACTTGTGGCAATTCAAAGATAAGATCCGAGAGTTTATGCAGCAGCATTGCGCCGCGGTCGTTGCAATATTAGGTGGGGAGAGTGTGATGACCCGCCACATCATCATGCCACATAGGCGCCATTTGGTATATATTAATGCCATGTGGAAGCTTACATAAGAAGAAGGCTAGCATTTAAGAGAAGATTCTAGAGAAGTATGGACATTTCCTTAGGAAGAACCTAGATCCTTATGGATTTGCTAGGAAAGTCCTTGGAATCTTTTAGGCTTGTAGAGAATTCTAGAGAAAGCCCTTATCTTGTAAATATTAAGGACTTGTGTAACAATTAAGATTTACACACTAGCCCCTAGGAGACTAGTATATAAAGGGGCATTCATTTGTAATTCACCAAGCAAACAATTCAAGTTCTCTCTAATACAAAGCTTCCTTTAACAATTCTCTTGTGTTCTTTCTACCATTCTCTTAGAGATCTTGAGTGTAGTAAGGCTGACTTGGCATAGCAAGAACGTGGGCAAGTTGTGCGAGATCGTGAGCGAGTTGTCAAGTGCCACACGTGTACTTAGTTAAGAACTAAGGACGTGACAGGAGGGAGTAACTCATTTTCATCAACCTTACTGAAATAATGCTGACAACCCAATGATGAGGAGATTCTTTTCTTTCTTTTTTTTAAAAACATTTGTTTAAAAATGTTTTTTCGACAAACTAAACCTTTTATTTGAAGAATTATATAAGAATCTTATGAGTTAATTTTGGGACAGTTCACTCAAGTTGATAAAATTATCTAGTAAAATCACTTCTTTTTTTGGTTTCAATTCAATAAAGTCGTTTAACGGATGGTTTGTTTCTTATAAAAGTATAATAGCTGCCGGAATATGTGTTTCAGGTGCCAGATATATGGCTTGGCAGGTCATTTAAGATTAAAATAATTTCCTGCAATATAGGCAATTTTAATGAAGGCCCCTTTTCTGTATAACCTGCCCAAATTAAAATTTTTTTTGGGGGTATCTCAGAATTGCTGTAAATATTTGGTGTTTCAGGAACGTGCAATACACTTCTCACATAGAGGGGTAAAACTTAATAGAACATTAACCAAATCTCTCTTTCCATTATTACTCAATAGAGAGGTATATTTAGCTAGCGTTTGGTCATAGATTCTCAAATTTGTTTTGAAAATTTTGATTTAGATGAAGCTTGCTTTGATTTTTGAAGATGAAAAAGTGTTTGGACATAAGTTTCAAAACATATTTCACTTTAATTTTTTTTTTAAAAACCATGAAACATGACTTATGCCCAGAAGTTCTAACTATCACAAATACCGAACAGTACATTTATCAATAACATTCATTATATTACCGCATACCATAGTCCTGAACATAAATAAATTTGGTACAAAATTATCATTTCTATAATGAATTACATAACACACTATCAGATGACCGAGAAGGCGAATCAGCATTGTTACAAAATAATAAATGGTGGACACTTTTATAAATTACAAAAGTTTGGAGCAATTTTTAAAAAATGTAATAGTCATATTTTGGGCCAAAACCAGCTCTTGAGCTGGTTTTTGTGATTTGGGAATTTGCCAAAATGTAGATAAAATCTATGGCCAAACATGTTTGCTAAAATAATCCCAAATATATTTCAGCAAAATCTATGGCCAAACGGTCCTTGCTCTCAAGATCACTAACTTTTTATATTTGAAAATATCAAAGGGTATGCATATACTGGGTTTCTATCATATGTCTGGCCTGCATTTTCTATCTAAAACCAAAGAGCCAAAATCTAGTCATTCGAGTTCACTAGCGTTTCTGATATATAACAGCAAACGTGATGTTTTTTCAGTAGTGACGAGAATACAAATGGCTAATTCAGTAATGCCAATGTGCCAATCACGTGCACTCCAATGAGAGCTTTGTCGTCGGGGCTATGATTTAAGAAGAGAAATGTTAGCGCAAAATAAAAACAAAACAACTGTTTGATACAGAGTGAAATCATCGAATCAATCATATTGTTGCAAGAGAACATATAGTAAAAGTTCAGTTACAAAATACACATCTATCTTCCCAAAAACATATACTTTGGCGACATTGCACAACATGGAATTCGACAACACAGTAATAGATGTGGATCTCTGTCCACGTTTCAGCAAGTCCAAATCTGATCACGACAACACAACATTGCTTCTTAACTTGTTAATCAGCATGAATGTAAGTCTATAGTTCCTTTAGTTCAAGTTCATAGGACAACAACCACTGCTTTGTTTTCTGTACATCTGCACAATGTAACTTCACCTGATGGTTTGTGTGTCGGCAAGAGAGATTAAGCTATTCTCGAATATTTCGAAGGGACAGATTATACAAGGGAGAAAAAGAGACCACTTCAAATGCAACTAAATTGTTGCCTTAGCGTGGTACCCTCTTTCTACTCAGTATTTCCTGCTCTTTCAATCGATGCTGGAATCTGGAAAGGCGAGCCTGAAGGCTAACCAGGCTTGCTGCTTTTCGTGATAGCACATAGCTCAACTGCGATACATAATTGTCTATTAGACTTCCAGGCTGATCAACTTCTGCCAGCAGTTTCATTTCCTGGTAGAGAAATGGCAACATATGTTAATTATATAGCTTATGCTTTCCAGAAGATGGAGAAGGAGAGAATGCACTCTTCTTTCTTCCGGATCCAACCTTTCATTTGTATGTTGATAAGGTAGTCAGAGGACATAATAACAAGTTCACTACATATGGCTATTGCCTCGTAAAATAATCACCCTTAAAGATGGGACAAAATTTCAAAACTATAACATCTATTTTCACAATGCTGAAAGAAAATCATTTAGTTTGTCTCGAGCGAGAGCAAAGACAGAAATAGGTGACAAGTCCTGGATGAGCAAAGTAGCAACTAAGTTACAAAAATCCTACTACCCTCCTCTTCAAATCCAAACTTAAAAAGCCAAAAGTTATAAAACTGCCAGCAGATAGTATAGTTTTAAAGGGAGACAAATGGATAAAGATTAAAAAGAAAAAGAAAAAGCATAACTTTGTGCAGAAAACCAGTGTAAGACTTTTATAGTTTCACAAACAAAGCATCCGGACTCTTAGTGAGCGTAGTAGAGCATCCAAGGAAAATGCTAAGGAGATACTAGAATTAGGATAGAACTCAAGGAAGAGTGACTTGCAGTTAGGTTTTAGCAATTGTCATGCACGTTGTAGAAATGCAGGAACCTTCCCGGACACACCTATAAATATTCCTAATTTGCAGGGAGATAAAGTATTAAGAACTTTATTAGACTAGAATAACAATGATTTTGCTTACTTCACGAACAATGTCCATTGTATCTTCAATTTCTTTCCTGTGCGCAGCCATCAGGGCTTCTTCTTCCTTTACAACAAAAAGAGGAAAAGTACAAGTGTGAATGTAAGGTCATAACTGTTATTAGTAAGGATATCTCATGAGATAAGAAGTAAAAGGACATCGAAGTCTAACCTGCAGTAATTCATTGATATTCTCATCACAAGGGGGTGAACTAGGTTCATTTTGTCCTGACCCATTACTTCTTATATTAGGAATACTTGCGCTTTGCTGTTTATAACTTGTTGAGAATGACTCAGAGCTTGATACATCTTTTCTTGACCATTTTCCTGGCTTTTCAAGTTTCTCATCACGATAAACTTTCCTCCGAGGCGGAGACACTTTCTGCACCTTGTCCTCTGTATCAGTTGAGCTCTGCAAATTTGATGCCGAGATCATTCTCTGACCAGCTGGAACACCATAGCTATTCTTAACCTCAAACCTGTCCCTATCTATCCCACCAAAATTTGGCCCACCTTCCTCCTGACCATTGAAAGTATGATTTGAAGAAAATCTAGAGGTTTGTTTATCAAAATCATTTGTGGAATTGTATGATGTGCTTTCTTTCTCCATAACTCTCCTACTTGCTTCTGATACTTTAGATTCATGGGGTTGCTCATAAGCATTTTCTGCCTCAACAGAAGCAGCCAATGTAGTTGCTAAAGGAGGTTCCTTGATTGTAGGAGGTATTATGCTTGCACTCTGATCTTTTTTGGTGTTTCCGCCTTTGGATAAACTTTTAACCCTGTAAATACAATGTCAATAGGTTCATCCATATAATCAAACGGATAAAACATTCAATTTGTACAAAAAAGGCAAGAGCTACCTGTCAGCATATCTCAAGGTATTTAGTGTATGTTCACATGATCCAGCATTGGGAGAAATGCAGGAAATCATAACAGTTTTTGAGTTGCCAACAAAAGAGTCACGAAGCACTTCAGTGAGTTTGCTCCCACGGAACGGTATATGAAGCTGATCATTGTCAAGAGCACGAATACACTCTTTAAGAGCCAACAAGCTCTTGTTAATTTCTGCTCCCTCAATCCTAAACCAGACAAAAATGAAGATTTCAAAGTATTCTACTTCAACATATTGGCAGCAAAGGGCCATAAAAGTGCTTTTTTTTTTTTGGGTGGGGTGGGGCGGGGTAGGGTGGGGGTGGGGTGAGGTGGGGGGATAAGGAATAATCTGGACCTCAAGCATTTTATGCAACAAACAAGCTTCAAGTGTTACGGTTTCTAACTGGACAAAGTGAAAACTCAGTACATCTCTACAATAGAACTGAACGTACTTGACACAGTCAAGATCTTTTCCAGAGTTAAAGAAAACCATCCCTTGAGCATTAATACAGAATAGTAATATGAAACATACAACTAGGGGTGTGCATTCGAATCGGTTTATCGATAAATCAAATCGATTATTTGTTATCGGTTTATCGATTTATCGATTTCGATTTCGATTTCGAAATTTTCCTTATCGAGTTATCGATTTCGATTTTGTCCTCTTCGGTTATCGGTTTATCGATAAACCGATAAGATATACTAAAAAGACAAATATACCCTTATTCTATAATACCCTTTCCTTTACCCTAAGTCCCTAACCCTATTATTTTCTCTACCCTTATTCTTCGGTGCCGCTTTTACCGATTTGAGGTGTTTATACTTGAATGACTGTTCCCGTTTGCAAAGTCTACCAACTGAAATGGAAAAACTCAGAGCAACTAGAATTGCTTGACATTCGTCGTACTGGGATGATCTGCTTGTGCCATAAGATCTACTTGACAACACTGAGATGCCTGCGGATTTCAGTTTATAGCCTTGAAAGCAACATAAACAGTTCGACAGAAAATGGGAACCTTTCCCAACAAGAGCCGTTGAAATTCTTCTCCAAAGAATTTTTTGAACTTCAATTTCTTGAGGAATTGACCATCCATATATATCCCAATACACCAAACTGAAGATCGATTATGGAGCAAATTAAAAAGCAGATGAAGTGCACAAACATTTGATCGTCAGATGGGAACTTGAGGGGTCATATTTTTACTAACACTCTTGATGAACCTTCAAATAATGTGGTCGAAAATGGTTCTCGCCCCGACGAGTACACAGTAAGTGGAAGTCAATCCAATGGCCAGGTAACAATTTCGTTTGACGTTCTGTTTTTTTTTTCTACTTTCCGTGGAATCCCGCAAATTTTCTTATTGGTGTAATCGATAACCGAATTGATAAGCCCCAAAAAATCGATAAATCGAAATCTAAAAAATCGAAACCTTATTGAAACGATAACGATAAGCATATGTACAAATCGATAATCGATAAGTAATTATCGATAAGGGTCAAAATCGAATCGATAAATCGAATGCACACCCCTACATACAACTGTCTTGAACTTCATCCAAAAAAAAGCCATACAACTGTGCTGATCACCGTAGCCTTTTCTCCTTACCGGAGAATCAATCAATACCATCGGAACTCCAGCTTGGCCTATGTTCAGTGTGGTGGTTCGACATATAACTTTATNTGTCACACAGTTGTGACACACTTATTAGGCTATATTTCAAGCCATCTATCAGGTAGACATTCTCTATGGAATGAGAATCTGTTTTGCCTACCTTTCCAACCCCAATGATCTCACCTTTCTTTCCATTACCAAAGGAGACATTACCTCCCTTTAGGTCCTCAAGTGAAAGGAACTGGTCCTTGTCCCCAATCATATGTTTTGAGCAGCCACTGTCCATATACCATATTTGGCTCCTCCCTTTCACTTGAACCTCTTGTTCATCATCTGATTCTCCGATGGCCATTAGTGCTTGCTCCTCCTCAGCTTCATCTTCTGAGTCTTCATCTGAGGTTTCTCCCAAGCAGCAACCATAGCCTTGGTTGAACCTTTGTTTTTCTTTGGTTGAACCTGTTCCTTCTTCCTGTTCCTTCGTTCAGCTCTTTCTTTCTTCCACTCAATTTCCCATTGAGGGCAGTTTTTGATCATGTGGTCAGTCTTACCACACTTGTAGCATCCCTCATTGGTCTGTTTCTCCGAAGCTCTTCTTTTATTGAAGTTTGTACCTCTTGAAGAACACTTTCCTCTCATCAGGTACTTCTTGAAATCCCTAGTGATCATAGCCACTTCATCATCTTCCAAATCTGCACCTTCAGCAATTCTGAGAGCCAAGCTTCTCTCCTTTTTGGAGGGTATCCATCTTCATGGTTTGTCTCCTCATTTCATAGGCAATTAAGTTTCCATTCAGTTCATCCAATCTAAGGGTAGCAATATTCTTGGATTCCTGAATGGCAGTGATCTTGCTTTCCCGTGTGACTGGCAGAACTCTTGTCAGAATCTTCTCAACCTTGTCTTCTTCAAGAATAACCCTTCCAAGAGACTTAAGTTCATTTGTCAATGTGGTGAACCTTGTATACATCTCTTGGATGGTTTCCCCTTCCTTCATGATGAATTTCGCATATTGAGAATACAGTAGTGTCGCTCTGGACCTCTTCACTTGAAGTGTTCCTTCATGAGCCACTTGCAAAGTGTCCCAGATTTCCTTAGTAGTGGTGCAACTTTGAATCCTGTTGTACTCGTCTGGTCCTAATCCACACACAGGCCATTTTTTGGCCTTGGCATTCTTTTCCCATTTCTTCAAATCTTCAACAGTGCAGTCAGCTCTTGTCTTTGGCACATAAACTCCTTCAGCATTCTTCTTGTGGTTGCTAGGGGACCATCAGTGACTATGTCCCAGAGTTCATAGTCTTCCCCTATGATGTGATCTCTCATCCTGTTCTTCCACCAAGAATAGAACTGACCATTGAAAAGTGGAGGCCTAGCACTGGATTGCCCTTCCCAATTTGCAGGTGGAGCACTCATGTTGATCTTCTCCTAAGGTGTTAGCCTCTTCAAGGATAACCTGCTCTGATACTAATAGATGTTCTTAGACGTCAATACCACACAAGAGGGGGGAGGGGTGATTTGTGTGGTACCTAATTTTCGCACTAGAAGAACCTGGTTCTTCTAGATGTACTTACTAAGACTGTTTGCGGAATTAAGAGTGCATAAAATAAAGAACACAGAGATTTTTTCGTGAAAAACACCTGGCTCAAAAGGTGAAAAAACCACGTCCTACTACTCAGTAGGATTTTCCCAAACTTTCACTAAAATCACTGAGCCAAAACAGCATTTACAAAACTCTTTGTAAACCTAAGGATTAAACTCTGATCCTAGTGTGGCACACAGCCTCAACTGCTGCGACACTTTCAAGTTAACTCTAACTTGAATACTCAAAGTACCTAATACAATTGCTTCTATGAAAGCTGAAAGGTACAATATTAAAACACCTACTACAATTGAACTAGATTAAAAGAAAGACACAATGGAATTGGTTCTTCTATCTTGTCCAAGTAGCTTCAGGAATGCACACTTGAATCTCACGTAAATTGCTTGCAAAAAGCCTTGCTATTTTGCTCTTCAATTTAGTTTCACTTCTGCGCTTGTGCAATCTAGGGGTGTGCATTCGAATCGGTTTATCGATAAATCGAATCGATTATTTGTTATCAAAATCGAAATCGAAAAAATCGAAACCTTATTGAAACGATAACGATAAGCATATGTACAAATCGATAATCGATAAGTAATTATCGATAAGGGTCAAAATCGAATCGATAAATCGAATGCACACCCCTACATACAACTGTCTTGAACTTCATCCAAAAAAAAGCCATACAACTGTGCTGATCACCGTAGCCTTTTCTCCTTACCGGAGAATCAATCAATACCATCGGAACTCCAGCTTGGCCTATGTTCAGTGTGGTGGTTCGACATATAACTTTATGAAATAGATTTCTTTCCCTTTATTTTTGATAAGTCAAACTTTTCGAAAACAGATGCAATGAAACGGACTAGTTCAACCTCTAAAGAAAAAAATAGAATGAAGAAGTCCAAAGAGTTCCAGGAAAGGAATATACAAGAGCAGCCAGATGCATTCATAAGAAGGTACCTTGTCTGTCTGTCATTATCAGTTGTGTCCGCCCCCCTCTCACTACCAGCAAGGTCAATAAAAGAAATCTTTCCGACGACTTTCCCACCCTTGGATTCATTTCCATCATTATTTCGCCTAGAGTCCTTTACTTCATTGTGTTTCTTGATGACAAGTTGTAATATCGCGTGTGATCTTGATGATTCCTCATTTGCACCAGTGGAACCTGTACTTCTTGCAGCACTTCCCCTCTCAATATACTCTTTCACAACCTGCACATCCGAAACTTCAAATTCCTGGAGCCCAACGATGCAAACCTGCTGACGCCCATCTTCTCTCATACAAAGTTTCCTACATAAGAGCGCAAAGGAACAAATGATAAGAAAATGACAAAATATACATGTTTCAAACATGAAGCTCCATATTGGTGAAACAAACTATAAGAAAGGTTTGACAATGATTTATTCTTCAATATGTTGGACAACCAAGACACCTGAAAATGACATTGAAGTGCTGGCAAGGGCAGATAGTGGAAAAGAGATGAAGACATAATTGGAAGATCACACCTTTATGCTTATTGTGGACTGTTTGGGTAGAGAGGAACCTTATAACTTTTGAAGCAAAAAAGAAGACACTGCTTTTTATCATGAAATCAATGAGGATACTTTAAGTCTTCAAGTGTCTTCCTCTCTATTTATTATTATTTATTTATTTTGATAACGTGGTGTCCGGGCCAGCTTGCGCGCACCTCGACTAATTCCACGGGATACATGCCACCTCCCACCAGTAACCGGTACCAAGTAACAGGTACCAGGTGACTATCCACCAAGGCTTGGATAGATGGGAAGAAATCACCTAGTGTTTTTTGCCTTCGCTGGAATTTGAACCTGAGACCTCATGGTTCTCACCCACTTCATTGACCACTAGGCCACACCCTTAGGTGCTTCCTCTCTATTTTTTATCTTCATCTTTAGTGGGAAATTATCTATAAGATCAGATACCACCAAAGGATGAATGTTGGAGACCCATTCAGAGGTTCTAGATTAACCATTCTAATTTTTGTGTTATGCAGGGTATAACCTACTTGAAAAGGGAAAAAAATTACGCACTTAAAACTCTATTGACATTCAAAGGAGAGAGAGATTTTCAATGCAGGTAAGGATACTAACTTTCTATCACTGAGAAGATCGAACAGTTTCCCGCCATATATTTCAAAAAAGCTGAGCCACAACTTGAACTTCTGATTACGATAAATTGGCTGATACAACAATCTGACAAGATCATCTGCAGCTCTGAGAGGCAATGGTTGCATCGTGTATGTCTTACCACTACCTGAACCATCAATAAGGGAAGGAAAAAGGAAAAAACATCAATTCTATGATAACTGATCGAGGAGCTGCCCACAATAGCAATGCCCAAATGCAAACAAACTAGTAGTGATAAGAGGCATAAACTTAAAAGCAATGACACTGAGAAATTCATATGATTGGCTTGAAGTAAAACATGTATCTCTCATGAACATGCGAGAAAGAGGTCAAGAAGAATATGGAGTACAACACTTTCATAACTTGAAACATCTAAAAGCAGAAATATGAAGGATGAGATGTGGCAAACCATTCCATCAACTCCAGAAGAAAAGGTATCCAAGAAAAATTAGAATAATCTAATCTCCACTCGATCAAATATGTTGTTTATAAGCATGCTGGTCAAACAAGTCTGGATCCCAAACAATCTCTATATTCCTAGTCGTAAAAGTCACAAATTTAAAGGGCCATTTCAGAAACATGCGCACTTCAACCTGAAAGCAAGGAACTGGCAACTCGAAAAACCGGATAACTCAAATTTAGACATATTTTTTCTAGATGCATCTCTTTTACCGACAAAATAAATCAAGCTTGTGGAAAATATAGCAAACCTGTCTGGCCATAAGCAAAACATGTTGCTTTTGTGCGCTGAAAGATGGTAGGAATAATTGGTTCCACGGTAGCACGATAAACCTGCAAAATGCATGAGGAAAGATAACGTTTAAGCCGAAAACTTGACATAAGCAAGTAAAACCACATAAACAAAAGTCGAACCAAGCACTTATGCGCAGTAATTAGTGTTTGACCAAGCTTTTAAAAAGTGCTTCAAAGTGTATTTTCTTGAAAAGTACTTTTGAGGAGAAGCTACTTTTTTCAGCTTCTCAAAAACAAACTTCGGCTTCTACTCAAAAGCACTTTTTTCCTTCTAAAAGCTTGGCCAAACACCTAAACTTTGGAAAAAAATATTTTTGGCCAAGAAAAGCTTGGCCAAAACAGGCTATAAATCTCAAATCCCAAGACTTGGATAGGTTATATAAATCCTCTATATCCGTTACGTTCTATTCAAGCATGTTCATTCCGATTCTAGTAAATAATTTCTTTCATAAAGCAAATTAGGGGTTCCTAAGAACTAAAGGTTCTCTAAATTAGGGGTGTTCAAAACCGAACCGAAACCGAAGCTTAATGGCTTATTGGTATCGGGTTAACGGTCTAACGGACGGGAACGGATTGAAATTTTTTTATTAACGGCTTATCGGTTTGGGGCGCGGATTATTCATTTTCTTAACGGATAATCCGTTAACCCGTTAAGAATATATATTATTTTTATCCATATATATATTAATAATCAAAAGCCGTTCTTCCACTTCCAGTACTCTATCTCTATTCTCTATTACTAATTTACTATTAGACAAATTTTAATTACTTGCTTCGCGCATTCTTTTCAATCCTATCAAACCAAAAATAATTTCCTTGATTGCTTCACGTACTCTTACCATCTCCAGTAGGTGCAGTGGAAGTACCAAAACATAACAAACAAGAGATAGTATAACGAGTAGAATCTGTTGTTAAATTGAGTTTACCACATACATTTGCAGGTTTGCTTGCATGTAAAAGAAAACGTCAGGCCGCACACATTTTGGCAGGTGTTCTTGGATTGTTTAGACATTATAGCGACATCTAAAGAAAATTGGAGCAGTTATAAAACAACAGTAAGAAATCCCATTCTTTGACCAACATCAGCATACATTTGAAGCACAGCGAAGCAAATTTTGGACCCTCGCTAAATTTGGTAAATTGCGTCATGAGCAATATAGATTGAATTAGGCCGATAAACCGCCCGATAACCGTCCGATTAGAGCTAAACCGATACCAACCCGCCCGATATCTTATTGGGTGGCTAGCGGATTAATACATCTAAAAGCCGATAACCGATAAGACAAACCGTTAAGAGTAAATAACCGCTCAATCCGCCCGATAAGCAGCCCTACTCTAAATCTCACACTTACCCAATACTGACATACAAACATCAAACCAAATTAGACCAAATAACCTATAAAGACCTAATGTAAGTACCAAAAGAAAACAATTAAGATTTAATTCCAACAAGTTGGTACTGCCTATATGATCCTTTTCTTTCATTATGGTATGTTCTTAGCTACAACCATACTGATTCTGAGAGATTATAGGTCTTTAAAACAACTTCTATCCATATAATTTTGGGTCTACATTATTCCTTTTAGCACCTTCAATAATCGTAGTGTTGCTCCTATTGACTGATGCACTTGGAGGTCCACATAGGACATGACTAAACCATATCCAGCAACCCTCTTTCATTTTATCCTCTATGTGGGTTATTTACTATCAGTCTAGCGTGATTATTTCAAATCTTGTCCAATCTTGTATGAAGGCACACCATCTTAAGATCTGCATTATTATGTCACAAATGTTGTGGATATGTTCCGCCTTAGAGGCCCAACATTCACTCTCAAATAACATTACCAATCTCATGACCATTTTTCTAGGTATCTCATTATAGCATAGAAAGCGCTCTCCCATTTTTCACCATCATATTTTACTTCTATGTATTACATCTTCATCTACCATGCCATTCCTTTTGAAAGATTAATCCTATATATCGAAATTGCCTACATTTAGGCAACATAGTAAATCACCAATTAGGGTTAGGGGGGGGGGGGGATTGAAGGTAGTCCAATCTTTTTCCATTTTGTTGTTTGGACAAACATAAAAATCAGTATCTTTGTGATTAGCGTCTATTCAAGTGACAAGTAATACCTCATCATTTGTTATGTGCTCGTCTAGAATAGCATCAAAACAGAACTCATGCTTCTCAACATAAGCAGTCAAGTCCACCTTCAATAGTGAAACAAACCTTAGTTAGTCTCAGACATAAGTTGATGCATAAATCAGAACAATGAATTCCAAACCTTTAGTTTGGGTTCATGGACAGTAAGACAAGCATTGTCTGTTACAGTGACGATATCATCCTCCTTCCGAGCAATTTCTTTCTTGTTTAGAGGTCTTTTCCGCACCTGGTCAAACATCATGATCACTCTTAGAAATTATAGATGGGAAGTAACTCGAATCATCGACTGAACCGCCATATGACACACATAGAAAGGGATTAAAACAGAAGATGAAACAACAACAATAACTACGCCTCAGTCCCAAACAAGTTGGGGTCAGCTATATGAATCCTCACTAACCATGTTACTCCATATAAACTCATCTCAGGCTAATTTATACAAAAGAAAAAGAAAAATAAAGTACTAGAAGTTCTTTATATTTTCTACTGACATACGACGTATAAATCTCAAAGGCTAAACAACTCCTACAAAAGCAGGAGTTCTACATATAAGCATAACTATGACAAATCAGTTTCTTTTATACCTCTCAGGAGACAGAAAAAAATGTCATTTTATTTCTAATAGAACCACAAATATTTCCAAAGCTACTGCTTACAAGTACGGCAATCGAAATGATTTCAAACGTTCCCCCTTACAGAGAATAACAAGGGTTTTCACAGCCTCAACGGTGTTTCATTACCATAGTTTACATGTGTCCATGATTGATGGTTCAAGCACAAGTGACATACCACTACTTTAATCTTTGCCACATTGTTTTCTCTTGCGTTGCTTTCCTTTTCAATTATGGGCAATCCATCTGCAATATCAGCTTCTGGTTGTGCTTTTTGTTGCCAATGGGTTGGGGCATCAAAGTTACTATCAAATGCTCCATTCACCGCAGGCACGAAAGGTGATTGCTCAAATGGTTCTGAAGTTACATGCTATCAAAAAATAAAGCAACAGTTATTGAACAGCAATTGCCCTCTAGACAACAAGTAAACAGCAAGTATGGTTTTCACTCTTCACATAAAAAGGATTCCAACCCCATAGCTATTCTATCAATATGTGAAGACACTTCCAACTTCAAACTTCAATAGGGCATTTTTTGACAAAAAATCTCTTATCTTTGACTTCAAAATAGTCTACTGTTAAAAAGGAACCCAAATAATTAGGATTCTTGTGCCATCTGAACGTAGTAATCCGACGAGGATACAAGATAGCTCCTCCACTATTGGATAACCTTCCCGAGAATGGACAAAAAGACTCCAAATAGAGCACAACTATGTTCTCTAAACGAAAAAAAAAGTCTCAGTACACTTCCTTTCTTGTCTCGTTACTCCTTTTCTTTTTACTGGAGGGTGGGGATGGAGCGTAATTGGTGGCAGAAAGGGGGTCAGCTATAGGATTCCTAGTCCAACCAATGTTCCCAGCAAAAGAATGTATACTCAAACAGGAGCAGTGGACTGCAGAACTATGTGCTAAATATCATGCCTCCAAATAATATTTCCATACCTCAGATAAGAGCTCTGTGTCATCCATAGAATGCAGATCCAGAAGCCCAGCACCAAAGTCTCCTCTGAACTCAGGAGAGTAGAAACCATCTGATGCTCCGATCCCTCCTGAACTTTCAGCAGTAGGAGTATATGGCTCGGATGCAGATTCGCCGTTAAAGTTGAGGTTTCTCATTAATTTGAAAAGCCTCTGTTTCTCTTCCATAGACTGAGCTCCATATCCCTTCAAACAACATCCCAAGCTTCAATTATTGAAAAACTCAATACGGCAACATCTAAACAAGACCAAGAATGCCAAAATAAACACATATGACCCAGAACCATAAGAAAGAGAGAGGGTGAAAATCAGACAAAATGATCAATATTTATTTGTAGAGCCTTTAGACACTACATCAGACAGAACCTCGGAACAATTCAATTTTAACTAATGTAGCAATTATGCTATCGACTGTTGCAGTGCCTTGTGCTCAAACTAGTTCTGATCAGCTATATGAAACCTCCAAATACCTTATGTTATATTCAGGATCATTTTATTCCAATACTCATTCTATCCCAATTTGAGTGATGTTATTTGACTGAACACGAAGCTTAAGAAAGAAAGAAAGATTTTTGAAACTTGTGATCTAAAACAAGTCATAGATATTTAAGTGGCTATAAATCATCTCATCAAGGGTAAAATGAGAAGTTTCAAGTCAAATTGTTTCTAAATACAGAAATGTATCACTCTTTTGGAATAAAATAAAAAGAGAAGAGTATCACATAAATTGGAACATAGGGGGATTAACTAACTTGTCAAGGCAATTATGGGAATATTACCTGCATAATTAGGAGTCGGTGATCCACACCGGTAGAGCCTGCCATTGGGGAGGCCAGATGCTGCAAGCCCGCAGACTGAAGCCATCGCGCCATGACAGCATCTCCTGCATCAGCAGCGGGGCTGGCATTGCCCTGCTGCTGATCATACAGACCAGCAGTAGCCGCCCCGTTGCTCTGCTGCATCTGGCCACCCACGTGGCGCTGTGATCTGCGTTGCGGCGCCAATTTCACGATCTGTTATTATACACTTCAACAACAACATCCAAATAACTCCCAACATCAAAATATAGCAATATCACTAATACCGATCCCAAAAAACACACACACAAAATGAAGAAAACATTATAGATCGTAACTGAAGAACTTACAGGGAGGTGTAAAGTCGAAATCGAAGCAGCACATTTACGTGCTTAACACGTTAACAAAACGACTGCGTTTTGAATCGATAAATGCGATTACTTGAATTATAATGCACCGCTTCAAATTTGTCCTAATACACAATGCATGTAAAAATTGCATAAATCCATTGAAAAAAATTGAAATTAACACGTACAATAGTCAAAATTTGCAGAATTTCACACATACACATACAGTAGATATTTATGATTAGGAAAATGCCATACCTGATTAAGATTAAGAAAGTGAATCTGGCGATCTGAATAACTGAATTGTATAAGGATAGATCTGAGAGCGATAAGAGCAAAAAAGGAAACCCTAAATTTGTTTGTTGGAGTCAATTCAATGTGGAGAATTCATGGAATTGTTGCTTGGAAGCAATGATAATGGAGAGAGAGAGAATGCCTTTTATCATGAGCTAATTCATTTTCTAAATTTCATGACTCAGAAATTACATATATCTTTTTTTTTTTTAATTTTTAAATGTATCTGTGTAGTAGTACTTTTTTTTTTTTTTTTTTTTTTTTTTTTTTGCTGTTGTGGTTATTTTTCTTCTTCTTCTTTGGGTAATTGTATTTTCGTTCCTTTAGTTATTACGTAGTAAATTCGTATTTCAATCATCGTGATATTTGAAAAAAATAATATTTAACATTCTATTAGCATAAACACATTCTTTTGGTCCCTCTACGTAAAAACGTAACTATGTTTAGAATATTTTACAATTATATTATCTAAAATTAGAAACTTAGTACTCCCTCTGTGCACTTTTAACTATTAAGTATCCTAAAAATAAATTTTCATTTTAACTTGTCATTTTTTGCATATCAAGAGAAAAATAAATTTTTTTTTCTGTTTTGCCCTTAGCATTAATTTCTCCTTCTAATCATTTTCTAAATTCATTAAGACTAGACATCAATTAATATGGGTATTATGGTTAATTATGCACTTTCTTTATTATTTTTTAAGGGGTGTGCAAAGTCAATGTGGACAAGCAAAAGTAAACGAAAGAGTATAACTAAGTGTAGTTACAAAGTTAAGTAGTTGTTGTGTTATTTTTTAGGGAGTTCATAAGTTGAAAGATCAAAAGCGAATAGTTACCTAAGGTAACTTACCTAGATTGTTGATGCCAATTGCAAAATGTTGCATTTTTCATATAAAAAGTTTTTCTTTTAATATAGTTGACAGAAAATAGGAAAAGACAACATAAAATTAGATTGACAATGCCTAAATTGAGATTAAATAAAAATAGGCGTAATGGCTTCCTGACCACTTAAACTTGTAAGGATTTTGAAAGTCGATACACAAATTTTGGACTTTCCCATTTGAACACTCAAACTCGTGAAGCCCTTAACTAATAAACACATTTGACCCTTGACCCTACGCGCATGTATTACACATTCACAGACGTGTCCATCCAGTCAGCAAATGACCAATGGGATTGTTACACGTCAAGGGCGCGAAAACAAACCCCATAGCTGTGCTGGAATAAATTTATTAATTTCTAATTTTTCTTCTATTTCCCTTATTTTCTTTCACCATAGCTGTGCAACTTTTACCTAACTCAAGGTACCAAAATGACCCAGCAAACCAAATTAACTACGAAGAGGGCCACAAATAATTTACACAGTACTACGGCAGAAAAATTCGAACACAAAGGAACAACAATGGATACTTAGAACTGTTCAAGTGAATTAGAGAAAACGAGTAAAAACATGGATAATATATGATCAACAGAAATCTGGAAATTATACCACGAACTGGAAAAAAACAACTCGCCGGCGATCTCGAACGATCCTCAACACTCAAACCGAACAACCACAAAAATATCTTTGTCCCTTTGTTTTTTCGCTCACTACACCATCTCCTTTTCTCTCATTCTCACCCTCCCAGATCTGTTTCTCTGTCCCTTGCGTGTATGTGTGTTTGTCTTGCAGCGTTTCTGCTGGTAGGCGGCTAGCTTTTAGATTGAGAACAAGAAAAGCTCAAAATCGGGGGGGGGGGGGGGGGGGGAGGGGGAGGGAGGGGGGAGGGGAGGAAGTCGCTGTTAGGCGTAGATGGGGAGGAGGGACTGGTTGGGTTCGTTTGGTCGTTGCTGTGGGTTATGGGTGAAGCCTTTATTTCTGGTCGTTGGGGATGGTGCGAAGATACAGGGGTGGTATGTAGAAGACGAGATCCGGGGGGGGGGTGGGGGGGGGGGGGTTTTATTATGGAAAACGGCTAATGGGATTTCTTCTTCTTTTTGGTTTTCCTTATAGTTTCTGTTTATTTTTTTGATTTTACAATCTTTTTAATGAATAGTAACAGATACACGCGCCATTTGAATGTGACTTGTACGCACTATGTCCACGCAAGATAAGTTACCGCCACATAAGCATAGTCAATGATCAAAGGTGTTTATTAGTTACAGGTTTCACGAGTTTGAGTGTTTAAATGAGAAAGACTAAAGTTTGTGTATCGGCTTTCAAAAGCCCTACAAGTTTAAGTGCTCAGGAAGCCATCGGTTTAGTCAAAATTTTAATTAGTGAAATAAATTTCTTAATTTAAATTTTAAAACAGATTTGATTTTAGTTTTACAATCAGAAGCTAATCTTAATCAAATTTTTATTATTAATTTTTTCTAAAGTCTAAAAAAGTTTGTTTAACTTTTCTGTAGTGCCCAAGAGATCATTAAATTAGAACCCTTAGTTTCTGTTGAAATGGTAGCTGTTAATCACCAAAAAATGTGGTACAGCAGAAGAGGCTGTTTTTTCCTTAACAAAAGGTCTCGGGTTCGAGCCTGGATATAACAAAATCCTTGGTAGTGAGCGCTTTTCTTTCGAATAGAGCCCTATGTGATGCGAACTCGGATATAATCAAGTTCCAACGCGGATACCGGATATCGTGGGAAACAAGAAAAGGGTAGCTGTTAGTTTAAGGTGCACAAACGAATCAAGAAAGGTTTTATAACTAACCACGGGGCTATTTCCGTCGAGTTACACTTTTATAGTTTCACTTCTGTAAAGTCAAATAATAAGAGGATAAGAACTAACTTGTAGCCAAGAAATAAAAAATTTAGCTAATATCTCAAGTATTTCATACATAGTTGATAAGCGTGGATATATTTTAAGCAAACCCGAATCTGAATTTTTTGATTGCGGATTTGATTTCGGATTCTATTCTTAAATTTTCGTTTTTTTAATTATAATTTGTTAGGATTTTCTCAATTCTAAATTGTGATTTATAAACAATATATATAAATCCTTTCAATTATTCAGAACCGTGGAACTATATGATTTTCACATAAAATGGAGATACAATAACTTCAATTAAGAAAACTTACCTGAATCTATGATGTGTTTTCTTAATTAAATTGAGCGGAAGTCTTCTTCAGAGTTGCTGTTCTTGAGAAAATCAGTATTTCTCTCTTTTCCTTTTCTATGTTCTTTTCAGAATAGAATAGATGGAGTACGCTATTCTTCCTTTAATAGGCAGAGAGAGGGACCATCAGTTAATTCTCACTTTCCATCAAAGTGGGTTAGTGGGGAGTTATGAAAGTGGGTTAGTGGGGAGTTATAATCATAATTAAATTCCCCTAATTTTATCCAAATATTAATTTAACAAATATATTTATATTAAACCAAAATACTCACGTGGGCAATATTTTACATTCTCCCACTTGGTGCACGTGATGTTACTCACTTAATGGTTTAATAAATATCTCAATCATTATGTGCACAATAAAATGTTAAATTCTCATTCATTGGAAACATCACTCGTTGTTATTGAATAAGTAAACTTATATGAGTCATGGCGGTTGTACATCACTTACTCGATATAGTCCCTTCCATGTACTACAATATCAGTCTATTACCCAATACAACATGTAAAAGTAATACTTAATTGGTCCAACGTTAATGCTTAGAATATCTTTATCTAAGCCTGAACCTGTCATCGTTATTCTCAATATTATGTATACAAGAGAAAACAGGTATAGAATACCAAAAACATATGTTTAAATGAGCTCAAAGTGTCAATTTCATAAACATAATAAAGTCTTTAGATAAATCCATATATTGCTACTAAGAATTCCCATTCTTTCAACATGTTCAACAAATATTTTGGGTGGTAATCCTTTCGTCAAAGGATCGGCAATCATAAGTTTAGTGCTAATATGTTCAATTGACAATTTATGTTTCTGGACTTCTTCTTTGACGGCAAAGTATTTCACTTCCATATGCTTAGCACCCTTTGAATACTTGTCGTTCTTAGAGAAAAAGACTACTGCGGAATTATCACAATAAATTTTCAGCGGCCTGGCAATATTGTCGACTAGTCCAAGTCCTGAAATAAAGTTCCGCAGCCAATTAGCCTGAACTGTAGCCTCAAAGCATGCCACAAATTCAACTTCCATAGTGGACGCAGCTATGACAGACTGCTTCGCACTCTTCCATGATATTGCTCCTCCGGCTAACAGGAACAAATAACCAAATGTAGATTTTCTTGTATCCATACAACCAGCATAATCTGAATCTGAATATCCAATCACGTCAAGATGATCAGATCTTCTATAAGTGAGCATATAATCTTTCGTTCCTTGCAAGTAACGCAACACTTTCTTTGCAGCCTTCCAGTGGTCAATCCCTGGATTACTTTGATATCTTCCCAGCATTCCAACAACAAAACTGATGTCTGGTCTTGTACATGTCTGGGCATACATTAAGCTCCCAACTATAGATGCATAAGGAATATCTTTCATTTGCATACGTTCCAATTCATTCTTTGGACATTGATTGAGACTAAATTTATCCCCTTTCTGAATTGGAACGGGACTTGATGAGCATTTTTCCATTCTAACACTTTATTAATATAGGCTTTCTGAGACAATCCCAATAATCCTAGTGATCTATTTCGGAATATTTTTATCCCGATCACATAGGATGCCTCTCCCATATCTTTCATCTCAAAGTTATTAGAAAGGAATTTCTTGGTGTCATACATCATACCAAGATCATTAGTAGCAAGCAAGATGTCATCAACATACAAGACTAACATAATAAACTTACTCCCACTGACCTTCAGATATATACACCGATCAACAGTGTTTTCTTTAAATCCAAAGGTGACAACAGTTTCGTTAAATTTAAGATATCACTGTCGGGAAGCTTGTTTAAGTCCGTATATTGATTTCTTAAGTTTACACACCATGTGTTCCTTTCCTTTAATGGCAAACCCCTCTGGTTGATCCATACAAACTTCTTCCTCTAAATTTCCATTTTAAAAGGCAGTTTTTACATCCATTTGATGTAGTTCCAAATCATAATGAGCTACTAAAGCCATTATAATTCTGAGTGAATCCTTTCTAGAGACCGGTGAAAATGTCTCTTTATAGTCAATGCCATCTTTTTGAGTGAAACCTTTGGTAACAAGTCCGGCCTTGTGACGTTCAATGTTGCCAT